ACAATATCAACATGTGCCAGAGAAAAACCAACAAGACTTTTAATATATTCCATCGACGACTCAAAACCGTGTGCCCCATAATTTCCATATGCAGCATTTACATAAAACACATTTAAGTGATAACTCCACCCCACAAAATACAATCCTTTCACTATTCTTAACATTGTTATCAGCTTGAAAACAACATCATTTCAACATGAGTATTTATAAAGCATGTGACTGCACTTATAAACGTTGTACACATACGGTTGCATGCACACCACAGGGACTCTGAAGAGAGGAGGACGAGGGTGGTAGGGGCCTGTAGTGCAGAGACGGAAAGGAGATAATGGTATGGTAAGGTGCATATTTATTAATTTCACAGAGAAGAGACAGCCAGTCATAGTCAAGGACGAGATGGGTGATGGACTTTGACTTGAACAGATGAAGGAAATCTCGAGTGTAGAGAGCCAGCAAAAGTAATCTTCCATTGAGCAGAGGTTGGCAGGTTTCAATAGGATTATTTGGTTACTGAAGAGATGTAGATTGAGATGAAATTGGAGAGGTAGGTGGGGGCGAGTCCGTGGAGGATCTTGGAGGTATTGTAGTTGATCTGGATTGAAAGCAGTTTCAAACAACACACAAACGATGTAAAAAGCACTAAAATTTTGGCCATTTTGAAAAGCCATCAGCAGTTCCGGTAAACGTACATTGTGGTCCTCTTGCCTTAGGTCACCCTCAAATTTCATTTTAGAAAAAATGTCATCGAATAACAGGCAGCAGCGAGAACTGTAGATCAGTTGTGTTATTTTAGGACTCGTCACTCACATGTAGTCACTCATGCTCAATAATGTTCAAGATAACAACAATGCGAAACCATCAACGTTGCATCAGGGACAAAGGCAGAGCACGTTTTACCCATTTTCGTGTCTTGTTTGAAAATTATTGTTTTCCGGCCTGCACTGTTTTTTGTCATAAGTGCTTCTCATAATTTACAAATTAGATTTTTGGGAGTTGCGTTGGGAACTGAGTTTTGGAGTGATATGGTCTCATCTGTGCATTCATTCGTGATGTTTTATTTAGTTCTGTGGACAGAAAATAACCTCAGAAGCCATTTGTGCTTGAGAGAATTGTCTTTCTCAGTTCATGGTGACCTCAATGATACCAGATGTTCGCCCCAGCCAGTGTGGGGATGGGCAGGATGCGTCACCGCTGGGACATTAGGGTCCACGTCTTTTTTGCAATCTTCAGAAACTGGCGCCAAGGCTTCTAATGGGAAATGTGCATCAGAAAGTATAAACTGTGACTCCACAGGCTGTCTCATTGTGCACAATTGTTAATTTGTTATGGGGGGGTGTTTGATTATGTGTTGATCGGTAGTTGTGCAGCCAAGCAAACAGAGCACAAACTGCTGTGGCAGTTAGTTTCCCCAAGGAGACAAGAAATACCAAAGCACGATGTATGCTGTAAAGCAGACTTTAAATACCCGGTGACATCATTGAAAAGAGTCAACCACTGTATGGAGATCACAGGCCAAATCCCAAATGTGAACACTCCCACAACTGTTTAACACGTAGGCTTTCGCGACCAATATCATCCATAATAGAGGTTTTGGGTTAGATCACGTAAATATATTGATGTATCGTTAAAACCAGCCACCACCCGACACAGCCAACTAGTAAGGGTTGTCACGTAAACAGAACATGCCAATTCGTCACTAGTACAGCACACCGGTGTGTTGGAGAATAAAGCCACAACATTTACAGTCTGAGTACGACGTTTTGCGAGTAATTACAACTAGCTTCATCAGGCGACAGCTACTTAGATGTGTTGTAAGAGTTTAGATTACAACTTTCAATACCTGCCTTTTGCGCTCACCATTATATTTTTTATGTGACATTACCGAAAGAACCAAAGAATATATATAAAATATACTTGACATCAAATTTCAAATAGGGGGGGGGGGGGGGGTGTTGCGCCGGGCTGAAATTTATAGCGAGAAATTCCCTCCAGAGTAGTAAACCCTGAACCGGAATCTCTGGTAGGCAGCCGTAAGGGTGACCAGAAAAGCAAACGATTTGTTTAGATTATGGCACAAACGACATATGTGTGTATGAGTAATATGAAACATATTACAACACTTTTCAGACAAGGCAATGATAAGTTAATCTTCCCTTGCCATATTTTGTTGATTCTTCTAAAAGCCCCATTACTAATGCTTCGCTGCTGCACTTTGCAAGGAAGTTATGGGACTTAATGGGTCGTACCAAATGGATAGTCGCTTCACAAAACAACCTGTCGATTTGCACGGACTATGCACACAACATCCTATGCGGTTAAACGCAGTTGTCGGCTATTTTCAAGCCAGTGCAGATGATAATCCCGCACTCCCTGGCCAGCCAGGGTTCTGTTCAGAACCACACTCACTCAATTTGTGAGATGTTCTGTTGGGTCCCCATGAAAACAAGTATGGCTGAAACCAGAGAACTTCGAACAGTTTGATTGCGACATGAAGAAAGATGCGTGCATCATCATCATCACGATCCATAGGCAGATAGTCCGTAGGTGTCCACTGCACGTTTCGTTGTTTCCACAAGACTATGTCTTGGAGCAATATGCTCAAATAGTGCACATCTTTCAGGCACCAATCTCTTATGCTGTCAAGCCATTTTCTGTGAGGTCTTTCTTTCCGGCTCCTATTTTTTATCCGAACAGACTTTTACATTTTCCTGTTGTTGTCTATCCTACATGTGTGTCCAAGTAGTGGCAATTTCCTTCTCATCACTGCCCGCATCATCAGGTTGTCTTCTTCTATGTGCAACCTTGTTCTTACTTCTACGTTGGTCATTATTTGGGTCCAGTTTTAATTCTATAGCAATACATTTCAAATGCCAATATCTTATCTTTGTAAATATTTTTAACGTCCAAGTCTCGTAGCCATACAAAGCTGTACTGACACGCATGTGCTTAAGATGTTCAGTTTGGTCTTGTAGCTGATTTGCTTGCTTCTCCAGATGTTATTGAATCCTGCAATTACTCATTTTGCCTTTGCGATCCTCGCTCGTATGTCTTTGTGCAGTCGTTGTCCCATGTCAGTAGACTTCCTGCGTACTGTATTAGAATTCCTTTACTTTCAAAATCTTGCTGATTTCTAGTATTACTTCTTCTCAATGTCCTCCCTTCCGAACACCATCATCTTTGTCTTTTACACGTTAATCCTCAGTCCTGCATCCTTCTCTTACTTATACAGCATATGAACACTTTCCAGCAATATTACGCAACTTTCTTCCATCAGATCTATGTTGTCCGCGAATCTCAGGTTCTTTATTATTTCTCCTTGTACAGATATGCCTGTGCCATGTTCCTGAATGGCATCTATCACTCTTTTCAAGTAGATGATGAAAGTTGTTTGGTGATAGTATCATACCCATTGTTGTAGGGAACTAGTCTCCTATTTCCTGTCCAAACTTTACCGCTGACTTTGACCTTTCACCTATATCCTGCAGAATGTGTCAGTCTTTTCCCTACTCCGTATGATCTTAATTTTGTCCACGTTATGTGCTTTGTTGTATTGAATGCTTTCTGGAAATCTATTAAACATGTGTAAACCAGCCTATTCTTTCTCTTTGCTTTCTCTGCTATAAGCCTTCACATTAAGATGCTATGTAATGTATTCCTATCTATATATAAAAGGGAAATTTGTGAATGTGTCTATACTCTTTGGTTATTTGGGTAAAGTCACGTAGGTATAAAATAGAATACAAAAACAAGTAATATGTACAAAAACTTTTTTTTAAAACACCCTTTAATGAAATGTGCCATACGTCACCATACGTCACATCTGTGATGTCACCCGCAAGCGGCAGCGTCACGCAGTGTGCCTGCTGACGTCACGCAGTGTGCCTGCTGACGTCACCTCCCCCAACCCTCCGCGTAGGCCTTGTATTAATCCAAGACAAGAATCCAAGTCTCAGGCGAAGCCGGGTAGTAAAGCTAGTCTTTCCTAAACCCTGCCTGGTCATCCGCCATATAATCCTCAGTCTGTGCTTGCGTGGACCCAAATAGTTAGAATGAGATTCGTAATAAAAAAAAATCCCATAAAATGTATTGATACCTGTTGCACTCGGTTCTTTTCAGAAGAAAAAAAAGCTTAATTCAGAGTTGTCCTGGAAAAAAAGCTCGATAACCAACACATATTACTCCGATAACCCACACCATTTTCATTGAAACACTTTCGAATCTACTTTTTTATTGTTTCTCTCCACAGATAGTTGCGAAACAAACTCAATAATTTAAGTGTCTTCACAAATGTACAGGAATTAACCTGTTCTTATTAAAATCCTACTTTCTGGTCAATGACATTTTGTAATTTGTCAAGTTTTTACACAGCGCCCCTCAAGTATACATACTCTAGTAACATAAGCAATCCTGATTTAAAGCTTTCGTGACTGCAGTAATAAAATATATATAAAATATATTTTATATATATATAAAATATATATATATAAATATATATTTATATATATAAAATATATATTATTATTTTGTTGTTTCCCTTCAACGTGACTTTACCAAAAGAACTAAGAATATAAGCAATCCTTTATGTTTAATTAATTCTGTTTAATTTAAGACGAGGTGGTAGTCCAAATTATATATTTTGAGTCAGTGTTATATGTTGACACAATATAAACAGCAATCTACGTATTTTGCAGTCATTACCCATTATAAATACTTTTTTTTTACGTTTTGTAAATGTAACCTACATTTTATACTTCCTATAAAACTTTATCTGTGTTTGTGACCATATGTCGACTGAAAATAAATGATACAAACCTGGATCAGTTGAAGCAGAAACTTTTTATTTGCATTACTAGAGAAATGTATTGATCCCCCCCCCCCCAAAACAAATCTGCTAGAAGTGGTTAATGCATACAACGTGTCGTGTTTAATTTATTGTAAATAATCAGAAAGCAAATCAGTTTAGTACGAATGAGAGGGTCGGGACACTGCCTCGGAGACGGATATAAACAGGATCTGTCCTGTGCTTGCTACGAGCTCCTTGACTCAGCCTTTCAGTCACCACAGAAGACGACTCCACTGAGATCTGCACCTCTGAAGTGTAAGTGCCGTGCACAGGAAACGACACACAAGCTTCTTCGTTAGAATGCGTCAAACCAGATAGGCATGCACTGTCTTCCATAGTAAGCCTACAGGAATATGGTAATACGGTGTATGAATTGTACAGCATTTACTATGAAAGGTTATATTGAGTAAATGTGGGGGGGGGGGGGGGGGGGGGGGGAGTGGTGGCCCAGTGGTTAGCAGAGTGCACTCACAACTGTACCTGACAAGATGAATAACTGAACAATTTTGGGTTTACCTTTCACCAACTTACAATGACCAGCATGGTGAAGTACAGTGAAATAAACCCCATGGCCGATATGGAGTGGGGGAGGTCTTCATCCAGCAATGGATTGACAAAAGGCTGTAATGTTTTACATGAAGTAATACCGTTCATGCCGTCCACTATAAGGGCATGTAGCAAACTACACCTGGCAGTGAATCACTGGTATGCAAAACCATTGATACCACTGCATGGTATGCAAATCATTCAATATTTGCATCCGTTTCAGAATGTTTTGCTATCGCATAATCTTAAGATAACTTAAACTAATGTTATATAATTTAATCCGGTGTTGTACAATTATATAGATGTCACTTGTTTCTCTTCTACTTGACTTTACCGAAAGAACCAAGAATATGAATCCCTGCAGTCACAGAAGCTTTAAATCAAAATTTGTTAATTACTGTAAAATATAACATTTGATTTGGATTTTGCTCAAGAATCTATCATTAATCTTGATTTGATGCATACCTACAGTAAATATAAATTGAATGTTTCCCAATATTCAATGGCTATATTCTAATCTAAATGTTGTACAGACACTCACTGCATTGCCAGCATACGTATATAAACAAACAAAATGAAAAATGTATCCAGCCTCGTAAGTAACTACTCAATTAACTCTTACAATTGATTCTAAAAATTAAACGTTCAGCAACTGTGATTTAGGAACTTGTCAAAAGCCCACCAGCTTTTTGCATTACTCAAAATTATATTGCTTGTCATTGCCAATAATTTGTTTGACACAACAAAAGGGTCTATGAATGAGCCTTTAATGAAAAATCAGAAATCTATTAATACAAGCCGATTAGAATACACGTGTAGTGTTTTGTAACATCACTCAGACTGACACGTTGTAACAGGTCACCTGCTTACACTTTAGTCACCTATTCTTGCACCAGTTGTAGGCGCACCTATAACTATCTGTACGGTCACGTATACTCAACTTCTCCCCGTTCCTATCTATTCTGTACCTCACTTAGCCTGCTCTCAGCGACTCCGCACACAGCGTTGTCGCACACAGCGTCTTCGCACACAGCGTTCTCGCACACAGCGTCTTCGCACACAGCGTCCTCGCACACAGCGTCTTCTCACACAGGGTCCTCGCACACAGCGTCTTCGCACACAGGGTCCTCGCACACAGCGTCTTCGCACACAGCGTCCTCGCACACAGCGTCTTCGCACACAGCGTCTCTGCACACAGCGTCTCTGCACACAGCGTATCAGCACACAGCGTCTTCTCCAACTCCACCGCTGCCCTCGCCTACTCTCCCTCAGAACCACTCACTCATCTGTCCCGGGCGAGGGGGGTCAACCATCACCCGCCTGACGACTCGTGAGGGTTGAGGTCCGTTGACGGCTTGAGCGGCAGCGGCGAGATCTCTTCGCTCTTGTCCCCAGCAACGACTCTCTCACTCCGCTCACACACACTTCCTTATATCCTCCGGCCAATTATCCGAGAGCTCTCGTGTGTCTCTTTAAGGCCAGCCAGGCTGGCGCCTGCCAGCCCATTAATTAACCCTTATCTCCCGTCTCCCTGGCAACACCTCCGGTGTCAGCGTGCACAACCGGTCGACCCGGTTTGCGCCCGCTTCGCCCCTTAATTAGGTGGCGGACCTGTCCCATGTTGCACACGCCCACCTGCTTGCCCTCAGTTGCCCTCGGTCAACTGTGCGCACCGCATATTGCACTCCTCTACACACACGTTGCTTATTTTGCGTCCTCTGCTAGAACTCTCCTCCAAGAAGAATGTCGAACGCTTCAGGCACCCTGCTGTCGTACATGTTCATGATGCTGCTCGGCCTCACCTTGGCGTCACTGGTGCCACACGAGACAGACGACGGTGACCTCAGGTGCGATGGTAAATCGTGTGCCGTGTGGGAACACACTCGGAGCATCGGATGGGTGTGAGAATGCGATGCTCGCCTGCTGTGTAATGGACAGCCATGGTTTTGATATTCTGCAATGTTTGGTCAGTGATCAAATGCATGTGATTTTACTCACATTATCTTAATGTATATTAATATAAGTGGTGGTGTGTTTAGGTGATCAGACAGGGTAACAAAATACTAATCTTATTTCTATTGGGAAGACATTAATAGTGGGGGGTTTTGTTTTGTTTTTGCACAATGCAGCGCAGAGATTTCACTCGCCAACCGCCACTCACAGGGCTCCTTCACGAGCGACTACAGCAAACACCTGGATGTGAAGCAGGCCAAGGACTTTGTGACCTGGCTCTTGAACACAAAGCGCGGCGGGTAAGTGTGTGGTGACTTTACTCTTTGGTTCCATTGGGTAAAGTCACGTAGGTGAAAATAAAATAACAAAAAATCACGACGTTTCGGCCACAACACAAGCGGCCTTCATCAGGTGAAGGGACGAGACTGTCTGGAGGACAGCGCTGGAGTGAGAAAAGCCACGCTCAGATCACGACCTTTAAGCTTGTGAAGTCACCTACGTGACTTTACCCAATAGAACCAAAGAGTATGGATCCTAGCAGTCTTCTCTTGGGTGGGGACGGTCACACATTGTGGACAATGAACACATGGCATTAAGGGCAGTCAAAACACTTAGAATGGGAAATGAATAACACGGGGCTTTTTATGTGCCAGGCGTGATTCGCGAAATGTATTGTTGCGTATCTCAGATCTCTGTTGAAATAGAAATGTAATCTCTAGCATCTTTGCTAGGACGGAAGCGGTAATATTTACGAAAAAATCGAGCAGAGTATAATTGTATCTTGTGTACATTTAATGGCAGTGAATCTTGCACGAAAGAATGTCATCAAACACTTCACTGCATTTGACTGTAGCACTGTATCAATGGTAGTAATTATTGCACAAAATTATGTCATAAAACACCTCACTTCATGTCACTGTAGCACTCTATATAACTGACCTTCAATTTGTTAAAATTCACTGTTCTGATACTTTATTATCTTCTGCTTTCGGTCGTTGTGTTTGAAATAAATTGGAAATCGATACAATATCGGTAAAATCACCGAGAAATGTCGCCGTAAAGAAGGAGCAATATGCGTTATAAAATGTCTATTGCGCCTAAACAAACGCAATAACTTTAGGTGCAGTGCTCTGAGACTTACTTATGGTGTGTTGTAGCTCGCCGGAGTAGCAAACAATTTGAATAGTAGGCAATGGAGACAAAACGGCAGAGAAATGTTCATTTTAGCATAATTTGCAAACGTAAAGTTGACCTTGCATTTGTTTGACGTGGCGAATAAATAAATGAAAGCAGAAAGTGCAGTGGGATGTGGCGTGGAATTGTCTGGTTAGCCCTAGATAAAGAGGGGACAATGGACGTTAAAAAATGTCATTTGTGTCTAAACAAATTTTTATTTCGCGCTCCACGTTTCTGCCTTGCGGAGTGCTGTCAGTCGCTAACGATTGTTAATTGGCCGAATGTAATGGCGGGGAATATTGGTAGGAACGTTGGGTTGCTCGGTCAATGGCCAGGGTCAACGGCGGCACCACCTCGTGGTGTATTCCGCAAATATGCCCGAATGTGAGGGCGGGCACAAGCCGGCGTGAGTAGGTTAAACGTTGAGTTTTATAAGGGCACCACGGGGTGACCAGCCCCTCCCCACCCAGCCCCTCCCCACCCTCCCCACCCAGCCCCTCCCTCCCCACCCTCCCCTCCCCACCCAGCCCCACCCCTCCCATTTTTGGATACACGACGGACGGACGGACACAATAATCCCCTGTGGGCTGCTGGTGTAACCAGGAGGTTCCTACCAGTAAAAGTAATAAAATACCGTCGTGCATGTAACTGTAGCACTGTATTAATGTGAGTTAATGTAGCACAAAAGGAAGCCATGAAACACCTCGCCAGTATTAGACTGCAGCACTGCAAGTGATTGGCAGTGATTGTTGCACGCAACAATGTGATAAAACACAGGTGACGCAGTGCCGCTATGCCACTATTAAAGGGACACTCAAGGACTTTAGGTGCAGTGCTCTGAGACGTAGTCGTTTTCCGCTTTAGCCCGCCGGGGTTGCAAACAATTGTAATTCGGAGTCAATGGCCGCAAAGCAGCTGAAAAATGTTGATTTTTAGCATAACATTATTCATTTCAGCATCATTTGGAAGCGTAAAGTTGACCGCCCTCTTGTTAGACGTGGCGAGGGAGGAAATGAATCCAGGAGATGCGATGTGACGGTGCATTAATGTGATGGTTAGCTCTCTATAAAGATGGGTGAATTTGCGTTACGAAAGCAGAAATAGTGGCTCCAACTTCCTCAGCTTTAGTGGAAATGAAATGCAGCGACACGTGAATATTTATGAGTGGAGGGGCCGCATGTGGAGTGACGTGACACACAAGACGTGTTTGGCACGTTACATAAGGTGACACGTAGATTACTTTATATAATAGTGGCAAAGTGCAAGCAATTGTGCCGCAAAAAATTTGTTTCCGCTCCACCTTTCTGCTTGTGGAGTGACGTAAGGACGCACGGTGGGGGGGGGGGTACCCAATATGGAGTGACGTCAACCGTTCATGATTATTAATGAGGGGTGAGGTGTCCATTTTCAGGGCGGCACCTGCTCATGAATATTAATGAGGGGGGCTGGTCGAGGTAGAGTGACGTCACGAGCATTAATGACGTTCCTGGGTGATTATAGGATGTTTCAATTTTCAGTTTCATTTCAGTTTTCATTTATTTGGTATAGCCCTGTGAGCCATTCGGCTCTTGAATCGGGTGCAACCGCAACAAACAAAAAACTAAAACATGAACAAGAAAACATCTTAAAGTGACTATGTGTGACTTTGCAAACAGAAAATCCAGGAAAAAACAGCAAAATATTCCTGAAAAAGCACCGTACACCAACGCTGTGTGCAAAAATCCCAGTGGGATGCAAGTCAAACAACAACAACCACAAGACAACTTACATTAAGACCATAAGTCTAACTCCATACTACAACAAACAAACATGACCAAACCAAAAAACGTTTTCGAAATCACCAAAATAAAGCCATAAAAGCAATGTAAGTGCTCATAGGATGTACAGTATTGATAATGATGTCTAACTTGTGTTCAGTGTCAAAAAATGTATACAAATCTGATCACATCTACTAGATTACAATGTGCACCACCAACTCTTGCTTTCAAATAGAGGGGAAAAAGTACATCTTATAATCCAGAGAAAACATTTATCATTCACTCCCTTGTGTACCAACCAATTATATTATTGGTTCTTTGGGTAAAGTCACGTAGATAGAAAACTAAAAAATAATAGTTACATTTAAATAATACAAATACATCATTAGACCTCCTTTACCAGTACCAAAATGTAATAATAGGGTTTTTCCCCTTTTTTCTGGCAACAAAACTGAAACCTTTTTACAAGGATTCATGTCTGCATTAACCACAATACCTGCAGTCAAAATGCAAACAAAAAACATACTATGATAATATATGATAATATATGCATTGTCCTTGAAACTGATTGGTCCACACCAAGGGACGGCTTTCTTTTGAGCCTCGACCCAATTGGTGCTCGACCAATTGGTGCTCGACCAATTGGTGCTCGACCAATTGGTGCTCGACCAATTGGTGCTCGACCAATTGGTGCTCGACCAATTGGTGCTCGACCAATTGGTGCTCGACCAATTGGGTCGAGGCTCAAAAGAAAGCCGTCCCTTGGTGTGGACCAATCAGTTTCAAGGACAATGCATATATTATCATAGTATGTTTTTTTTTGCATTTTGACTGCAGGTATTGTGGTTAATGCAGACATGAATCCTTGTAAAAAGGTTTCAGTTTTGTTGCCAGAAAAAAAGGGGAAAAACCCTATTAATGCAAATTTAAAACAATAATAAAAGCAAAAAACCCACGACGTTTCGATTGCAACACAAGCGGTCTTCATTAGGCAGAGAGAAAAGAGGGGGCAAGCCTCCAAATGCAACTGCTTATAAGGGTTCCAAGCAAAGCAAGCTGCGCAAGCAACACGCTAATGTTACAATTTGGGCTCACAATCCAACAATTATTTTAACATTGCGGTTTATTTTAGCATTGAAATGCGCACCTCCGATGAGCACATTTGCCTACGTATGGTGCGACATAAGTTAAACACACATACACCTCTCAGGGCTGTAGAGGTCACATGATGAATTGCGTTCATGAAAAAAAAACGGCATGCAATGTAATGCACTTATTGCGGGGGCAAGAATCAGCGTCACTCCTAAATCTTCACTCCCTCAATAATAAATATATACGCACACATCTCACACGTGTGCTGGACTACCCTCCCCATCCAGGTCGTCTGTCATGATGACCTGATGCAGTTGTAAACATCAGCACGGGGGAGACGTCGGTAGTTGGACACAATGCATGGCATGCCACGTTGGCCTTCATAAGTGCTCACGAGCAGCATTTACCCAGAAGCCTGTTAAATATATAGGATAATCTGTGTTGGTGTTTGTGCCATAGGGTGGATGCGCAGGCCGGCGCGAATTTGGAGAAGCGACACTCGGACGGCAGCTTCACCAATGACATGAACGTGATGCTCGACAGAATGTCAGCCAAGAACTTCCTGGAGTGGCTCAAACAGCAGGGGCGCGGTTAGCTCCTAGGTAATCGAATAATAAGCCACCCAACCCTGTGTAGGTTCCAAGATAAAAAAAAGTTTCATTATGCTGTTGAAACGGTATTCATTGCTTGTTTCCCTATGTTTGGAATTTCATCAAGAATAACTTTGTTTTGAATACTTTTATTCCATTTTCAATGTTTTAAAATTACGGGTAATGCAAGCCAAGGGATTTCTTGAATAAGGCACATTTGTTTTGGTGATAAAAAAAATATGCAGTTTGATACAATCTACGTGTATTGCAAAAAACTATTTTACGTTTGAATAAAACACTGGTGACAGCATTTGTGCATGGTGTTGTACATTTATGAAACTGTGCAGTGTGATTGAGATGTCGATGTTATGCATTCAAAAATACAAGCATACAAAGTGCAAGAAACTAAAAACGGGAAACGTTTATTTCGCAAATAATATATAACAGAACTTACAACGGTGCCACAAGGCTGGCATGAACAAATGTTACATATTCTTGGCAAAATTCACAAATTCAACTTTTGTTCATTCACCCCAAGGGAGCATGTGGGGTGGTCTTCTTTGCGAGCACCTCTTGCTTAAAGAACTCGGTAGGGTCTCCGACAAACTCCAGCGGGAAGGTTTCGCATGGGATGCTCGACAACTGATCATCGTCCTCGCGTAAAGTCCAAAGCTTCTCCAACTCCAAGCGCTCACGCACATCCTCCAACATGAAGTGAACGACAATGTTACCTGTTTTAAACACACACAGATCACTATGAGCCATAGCTGAATTGAAGTGCACACATACATTTTTGTACACACCAATATTAGAAAGGCATTTGATAACATTGATAAGATTTATGGAATAAAACTCATGTAGTTGGTGACTGCAATATATTTACAACTTACCAAAGTCTATACACATCCAGTCGTCAGTGTTGTGGCCTTCTATGCGTACATGTTCATACTCTGTCATTTTCAGATATTTGTACTGTTGGAAGGACAAAAACATTCCAAATACATTAAACATGCTAAATGTATATTTGGCTCTTTATTTACCCAAGCTATTAAGAATTGTAAAACATGCTGTAATGGTATTAACCGGCACATGCAATTTTACCATTTACCACAGGGTTTAGCAGATACAAGTTTTTGAAATCCACCGCAGTTCGCTCTTCCACATTTGCCAATTATCTCCGATTAAACTAAATGTAAATCACACTACATGCCTTATAAATTATAAACGTGTATGCCACGTGAATTTATTTTAAGTTTAACCAATTATTTTTGAAAGTGGAATACGTACACAAGATCTCTCTGACTTTCGATCAACTCTGTCTGCATCACATGGAATGAGTTTAAGAATCATCAGACATGAGCAGCATGCCGATGAACTCAGTAAATGTGGATAGACAGTAGGGGGTCTCCATGATTGGAGTTTTGGAAAGCCCTGCTTTTCCAAGCTATTGCAAACATCTTCAGTAAAGGCCTTAAACACAGTTTTGGAAATTAACACTTGCAAATGCTGTCAAACCTTGGCAACCCCCACTGTTAAACTAAAGTCATTAAACATCAGCCTCACAAAAAGCTGCTCCACCCCTCGGTGGCAGTGTGGTCGTCATAGCATTTCCAATTCCATCCCTCTGTAACACAGGGCTCAGGCCATTTCTGCCCATTGGCCTCGATTCAGTTTCACTGCCTGCACGCTCGATTGCTACGCCACTCCCACTGCTCCTACTGCGCATCTGTGAAAAGAGCTTCATAGCTCATCGAATTTCTCCAGGCTAAACATTCTGATTCTGCTCGCTCACGCTACCGCACCAAGCTGTGCGTGTATTCGGCCATGGCGCGCAGGTGCCGCGTTGAGCTCCCGGTGACAACCACAAAGTAGTCCACGTAGTTGAGCTCTGGCGGAACATTAATGACACAGAGGTCACGTCCATTCTCTTGATGCAGAGCAGCGACCAGAACGTCCAGAGGCATCCCCACGATGTCCCCCGCCACATGCGCTCTGGGATCCAGCATGGCTTTCATCTCAGACAAGTGCTGCTGTTGTTGCTGCTCATCCATGTCCTCGCCAGACTCTGTCGCTGCAAATTAATGCACACACACGCAACTATAAAACAAGCCAAGTGTTTGAGAATCATGACAACCATTGCGTCAAAACTGTACATTGCTGGATGGGTCGTGGGGGTTATTTTAACCATAGGGTCACCATGCTGATTAGTGCGGGTTGGTGAAATTGGGGAGAGTACAAGTGGGAGCATAGAATAAAAAAAACATAATTTTTGTCTTTAACTACCCTCTGCCGACCACCGCATATCACAACCTTGCACCAGTCTACAACAACCTCTTCGTGCAAGGTTATAAATCGTTCTTAGGCTTTTGCCATTCTTCTGCTGTCATTAAATTTGTTTACCCGAGAAAGGCTGTCTCAAGACGTTTTTCAGGAGGGTCCTGCCACGTTTTCTCCGCAGTCGGGGGCGATTATATTTATAATCGAATTGAGTAAGTTGTGCAGTACCGATTTTTGTTGAAATGTTCAACAGCTTTACTTGCACGTCTCCCCATCCCAGGTGTCTCGTCAATGGGCACCTGAAGCGCAGTCTTGCTCGTTCAGCAGGATGAAGAATGGTTTGCGCTCCGCTACAATGAACGCTCACTCAAGGACCGCTCCAGCAGTCACATCATCGACCAATCCCAGGTCCCACGCACAACACGCTTTCTGAGAATCGCTTAGCCCAGTAATGTGGGCCCCCTAATGCAAAAAAATATGACAGCAGACGACGCTTTACTGTATAGAGCGAATCATAACTACCACCGGAAGGTGAAGAGTGATGGTGCATTGATTCTTGGCCTCCGATGTGACCTTGGCCAACGGAGTTCGATTCCCAACCCATTAGCGAACGTCATCAGCGATTGTTTATCCGCAACGGTCCTGGACGCAACTCTCCTTCACCAACCCGCAATGACCGAGGCGAAGTATGGTCAAACAACTCCACGACCAGCTAGGCGCCGGGGCGACCCTCATCCACAGCAGTGGCTTGACAAATGGCTAATTTGTTCGGTTTTAAATGCAATTCTCATTATCATCAGCCACGTTCAAGCGACTGCCTGATGAATGCCGCCCCACGCAGTCGCCCATTCATTACTTCAGACCGGTCACCGCTTGGCCAGTCTCACCGGTCGGATCCCACCTCTTCTTCCTCCTCCTCCTGCCGCCGCTCGTCGCCTCATCCTCCTCGTCATCACCACGGGCTCCGCTTGCAAAGGCACGCGAGGGGACGCTCGGGGTGCTCGTAGAAACCCCCCGAGGGGGTACAACCGAGGAAGGACTGCGCAAAAACGGACTTGGGCCGACCCCGGAGACGAACGCAGTGATCGCAGAACCCCCAGAGGAGGGGACTGTGGAGCGAGGCGTCGGACAAATTGTCGAGATCTTCGGGGGGGTCAAAGTTGTCAGCGAGGCCAGGCGGGGAAGAGCGGGGGTAGGACGGACGCGAGAGGGAGGACGAGAGGCTCCCGTAGAGACCTCAGCGGTGCTCGCGGAAAGCGTGGAGGCGAGGCGGGGAAAAGCGGTGGCCAAGGAGACCCCGCGCCGAGAGGCCGCCGCCCCTACCACCGCCGCCGCCGCCATGGAGCCGCTCGTGGTGGGGGAGGTCGCACGTGGGTCACACGTGGGTCACCAAATCCACCCCGCCCCCCGCCGCCGTGCTACGCGCACCGCGATTGGCTTCCTGGCGCTCAACTCAACGAGGACGGCCGCTCGCGATTGGCCGGCAGCTCGGCGTGAGCGGAAGTGGCGAATACGGCGCCCCGCCCCCCCCCGCTCCGACGTTTGGGGGGCTTCGATTCCGATGCGTCGCACGCCGATTCGCGATCGTCGCCTCGATCGCGCAATGGACTTTGTGGTTCACACGAAGTTCATCAAAAATATGTCTTTGTTTTGTTTTGTCTTACGCGTTTCAAAGTAACCGAGAGCGAATGAAAAAGGGGGCAAAGTGCACTCTTCCGGAATTTTGCGAGCTGCTGTCGGTGCGGAATGTGACAATCGCGCTGCTATCAGCCAACCTCCCCCCCTTACCTGATTGATTGACGGACCAAAATCCGGACCCTGTTTGGTCACCCCCGTGCCCCCCCGTTGTTAATCACAAAGTTCGTCCGGCAAAGTCACCATCGCAAGGGAGTAACACACAATTATCCCTGTACAACGTTGACAGCTCCCTTGATCGGCCGATGCAACGGGAGTCCGTAACCCCGGGGAGTTGGACCGGTGGTAAGATTAAGGGGTCGGCCGAAGTGTTTGTGTCGTTTATTGGGGAAAATTCGGTTTACAAGTCCATATGATCACCGTTACATTGCTTTTATGGCTTTAGTTTGGTGATTTCGACAACTTTTTTTTATTTGGTTTGGCCGTGTTTGTTTTGTTGTAGTACGGAGTTTAGACTGGTGGCCTTAATCTAAAGTTGTCTTGTGGTTGTTGTTGTTGGTCTAGATTTGAAGCTTTCGTGACTTCAAGGATCCATACTCTTTGGTTCTATTCTACGTGACTTTACCGAATAGAACCAGAGTATGTTGTTGTTATTCATAACCAACACACCTGAAGACGACCGTTTGAGTTATGGTCGAAACGTCGTGAGAATTTTTTTATTGTTTTATATATATTTTATTATTTTGTTGTTTCTCTTCAACGTGACTTTACCGAAAAAACTAAGAATATGAATTACTGCAGTCACGAAAGCTTTAAATCAAAATTTATGTTGTTGTTTGACTTGCATCCCACTGGGATTTTTGTACACAGCGTTGGTGGTGCACGGTGCTTTTTCTGCAATATTTTTGCTGTTTTTCTCTTGGATTTTACTGTTTGCACAAAGTCACGAAGTCACTTTAAGATGTTTTCTTGCTCATGTTTTTGTTGCAGTTGCACCCGATTCAAGAGCCGAATGGCTCACAGGGCCATACCAAAATAAATTAAAACTGAAACTTTGTGAAATCTGTTTAGTAAATGATTAAAAGGTTAGCCTTGTTGACGATGCATCACCGTCGTGGGATTCGATTCTCACCAATTTACTTGATTATAAATGCGATTCAAGAATCTCAACATATGGTTATTTAATTGCTAGTTCCGATCGTTATGTTCGAACGTAATATTTGCTTAACGTTTGGGGAAAAAAAAACCCCACTCGGAAAGTAAAAGTATAGTCCCACATTATTATCATCCAAGAACTGCATTGTCGTTGACACCGACTCTTGAAACGATTTCTTTGTATCGATCCAACGACTCTTTAAAGGTTGCTGGCTTCGTGGTTTGTGGCCTGGCCTCAGTCAAAATCCAAAGTGAACAGGATCACAAATATAAACAACAACTACAACCACCACTACCACCACCACCATCGTCTACCGTCGCCAACTTCGTTCATGTCCACGAGCGGACGCAGAGAAAACAGCACGGAGACAGGAGGAGTGAGGAAGCCGTCACTCAGGGTTGTGGGGTGAGTGGTGGTGGTGTTGGTGGTGTGGTGAGGGTGGTGGTGTTGGTGGTGTGGTGATGGTGGTGGTGTTGGTAGTGTGGTGATGTCCACCCTACCCCCTCGTGTGCCGTGCCGGCCTTCATAGGTGCTCTCTAACAGCACTTGCCCTAGACCGTCTGGCAAGGCTATACGGGGTCTTTGTATTTGGTAATGGTGGCGAGTCGTTGGTTTTGGTGGCGATGGAATTTCTTGGAGGTGATTGTTATTGCTAGTTGATGGAGCGAGCGGTGATGTTATTGGTGATGGAAAGTGGTGGTCATGTTAGTGTTGTATGTGAGTGGTGATGGTAGTGGTGGAGCGAGTGGGAATGCAAGTGGTGATAGTACTCGTATTAGTGATGGTCATTGATGGTGGTGATGCGAGTACTGGAGGTGAGTGTGATGGTGGTGTTCGTGGGTCTTCATTAGGCGGCGCTGCTACTCGCTAACAGCACTTGGTGGTGGTGGTATTCGTGATGTTAAGACTGGCGATGTTAAAGTGTAACTTGCATATACTGTACTGTAACCACCAGCCTGTGATGACTTCCTGTATTTAATATGTTGAGGACGGACACCCTTGGCAATCTGAAGATTTTAATAAAGATCGAGATAATGTTAATTTGTCTCCGTTTAAAGCTCCTCTACGTCCATGTTCTTGCATCTTTTTTTTTTTAAAGTGTTATCTTCTAGTCCCTCCTTGCAGGCTGAAATTAGACCTAAGACCAACGAAAAGAGAGTGATGACGTCTCTGGCTCATGCCCAGGAGGGCATTGGATTGTGGCTTTGCAGGACCAGGATGGATCGGCACGGGGAGGCCTTCATCCAGCAGTTGATAGATCACGGATTATGATGATGATTATTCCAGTGTGGTCTTGATTTAGCATACATGTGGCATTCAGAATTTATGTGACGTCTGCACTCTGCCTCATGCCTTTATGGCATTGATGATGCATGGAAATCGGTGACGGGCCGTGTATTTTACACCTAGGCCTCAATTAAACCGCCTTCGAATAAACCTCACCATGACACTAGGGGCTATAGGCTATTGTCATTCGACGTAACCATCCCATATTCACCGTGACAGTAACCTTTATTGAGCGGAATAAAGCGATTTAACACGAGGCTCAACACCTATGAGAGTTACAATACACTAATTGCAGAGATATAAATGCATGGTAACTGAAACCATCAAGGATGTACCACTATTACGCAGTGTGACAGGATGCTGCATCACAAGTAGACATCGCATAGCCCAAATCAATGTCATTACCAAAGAAACAAGAGCAAACTCGCAACAACCAGTCACATTTACTCGTACGACCACCGAGCAAGCAAAAATGCCGTAAAACACAAATAACACAATCAGGATTCAACAGGCTTCCCTACAAAAAAATCGAAAGCACTACATCTCAAAATCTAAACGTCACGAAAGAAAGTTTAAATAAATTCTTAGATGATGCTACGTTACGTGCTAGCTAGTTTTACTTCAGTTAGCTAACTGGCCCTCCCATCACGCCACACGAACAATGCTGACGTAGGCGCAAGGCCAGCTAGAAGGCTCCGGCGTGTCAAAGAACACGCCCACCATGGCAAACTCGAAATCTGATTGGTTAAAGAATATGACAAGCAACAACATCGTCCCCATTTGCTTCAACAGCAGAGGGGATTCACTCGACATTCTGAAGGCCTCGGGGTAGATTTTTCACCCAGAGAGGCGGAGACAGCACAGGTGGAAAAGCTGATTGGATAAAAGCTCTAATTTATTAGCTGCACTGAAAGCAGCGCAACTGAGGGAGGGAGTAGCAATGAAATGACCTTAATAAACTGATAGGAACGAACTTTGTAAAATGCATACAGCATTAATGAAAATATATATGAAATAATAAAAATATAATTTTCTGATTCTGACAATCTCTAGGCCAGCAGAGAAGGCCTTGCTGTCCCTGACGGCCCGCCTCTGATGGAAATAATTTGAAATTGCATTCTGATGGTGTGTGCTTTGTGCAGACATTGACCAGTGACAATGCATCGGAGAGGAGTTGGTGCTGGAGCCATTGCCAAGAAAAAGCTGGCCGAGGTGATGTCTACGCTGCTCACTGCTCACAGAAAATGCATATTAAACATTAAAAGCTTCCTTTTAAGTGTTGAGTTTATCACATGAAAGTGGCAACGTGAGGTTAAAAATAGTTGACATAGCACTGCATTGTGCTTAGTGCATGTTAATTGGTATATGTCAAAACATGTTTTTGTGTAATATATTTATCATCATGGTAAGTGCAATTAAGACAAGTCACTAATTTCCTGTGATATGTAAGGTAAATGTATAAAAATGCAATAAAAGCATCAATGTATGTTATCTACAGGCAAGATATAAGGAAAGGGGGAATGTCATGGCCGAAGATCAGCTCTCACAGGTTTAATCTTTCATTTCATATTCCAATATTAAACATTACTTTATTATAAATGTCTACACATATAACAAATATACTGTTTCATTGTAATAAAGTAAAGTAAGATATACTGTCACATATCCCCACTGACCAATTAACTTTGCACACCCAATGCAGTAATTGTATATGGTTTAACTTATTTCCCCTAATTGTTCACACATCCAACTTTTCAAACATATGGCTACACCTCAGTCTCTAACAAGTTGGGTATGTGATGTTGTGCTGTCCACCAAAAAATAATGTGCAACTGTGGAAATAAGGTTGTTGTCATGTAAATGTGTTAAATATTTGATTAATCTTACCATTGCAAATGTGTGGCTTTCACATCAGATGTCCAAGCAGCTGGAGACTTTTAGGACCAACCTGGAGGAGTTTGCCAGCAAACATAAGCAGGAGATCCGCCGCAATCCACAGTTCAGAGTGCAGTTCCAGGACATGTGTGCCACCATTGGCGTTGATCCTCTTGCATGTTCGTACCCACAGTCATACCATCGCATGCTCTTGGATTTTGTATGGCCAAAGAAGAACACCTATTTCTTTTTATAAGGAGAAATCCATCGTTTCCTCCACATTTAAATAATATTACCCAGCCACATTTATTTAAGCAAGAAAACATTACACCGGTTTGATCTTCTAGGTTTCATAATTATCGTAGTGCTTACTAAACACACTAGCCTTTTGCCCGTCCAAGGACGGGTGTATTTCAGTAAATCTGAAACTTGCAAGCAAAAAGCAGACCGCGACGTGATATTCATTGCATCAATTCGTGTGCAATTTGTAAGGCCGCAGTGACACAGACCTATTTCATTTAAAGGTTATAATCCCTTGTTCACGATGACGTCCTTTTTACTTCTGTCTCAATAGCGTTACGGAGATTGCGTGACGTGAGGGTTCTGCCTGTGACGTGAGGGTTGTCAGTTGACGCTGAGGGGGGAGGAGGCGCCTCGCCCCCCCCCATGTGGAGTGACGTCACCCGCCAATTAATGTTAATGGCGGGGGTGTCCATGTGGAAGACTGTCACCTCTTCATAATTAATGTGGGGGGGGCTGTTCGATGTGGAGTGACGTCACCTGCTGATTATATAATTATTGAGGGAGGGGGTGCTACACGTGGAGTGACGTCACCCGCTCATGATTATTAATGGAGGGGGTGCGACGTGGAGTGACGTCACGCACGGGACAGACATTCTTGGCTCGTTATAGTAGTAAATACTGCTGGGTTACCAGATTGTATTGGCTTGAGCACTTTAAATTGTGGACTTGTTCAACAACAAAAAAATCAATATTGTGTACAAAATAATGCTTTCTTGTGGAACATTACTTCCTGTGCCACATGTTAACTTTGTAATTCACTGTGGACTTAATGTGCTGATGTATTTCCATGCATCATAACATGAATGGCCACATTTGCACATGCACGAATAACAAATGTGCCTTATCATCTGCAGCTGGGAAGGGGTTCTGGTCAGAGATGCTCGGAGTGGGAGATTTTTACTATGAGCTGGGTGTGCAGATCGTGGAAGTCTGCCTTGCCCTTCGTCACCGAAATGGAGGCAAGTTTTCCCAGTTAAATATTGGGAAGCATTTACGACTGGCAATTTAACACATAGCCTTAAGCATTTATACAACAGGGGTCCACCGAATATTGGCTTCATATTCGGCTCTGCACAAAATCCTGCCATTTTTCTTCCCGAAGAGTTAACACTGCAACTTTAGAAAACATAAAAAAAATAATTTAGCCCTCATGTTAATTGCCACACATTTCTATGAACCAATTTTAATTTACTGTGCAGTGCATTGGGTGTTGGGGTTGGTGCACGAGCAATATCGGAGGATGATTCTCCATGTTTATTTTCAAAAACTTTACAAATATCTCCTATCACTGCATTATCTGGATACTGTAATTTCTAGTCAACCTTCTTACTCTGCCTCTGTTCAATTTTACCCGAACACTGCGTTTTACTTTTAGGCGGTGATATAGCCCACTGGTAGTGCAATTCACCTCACCGCTTGTTGCAGACGTTCCCAGTTCTAGTTCAGCATTTGCCCTGATTAATATTGCAGGTGCGTTAACCATACAATATGCATCATCTGCTTCACAATAAACGTTAAAGATCCCATGAAGTGATTCACAAGAGTAAGCCATTGTGTGCTGGCATCATGGTCCACATTTGCTTCATTTGAAAAATTAGCATAAAATTATTCCTTTTGAGTCTACATCGCAATCATGGCACCCTTCTGAAAAAAACTTGTCAGGACCCCCCTCCTGTTAAGTGTAATGAGAGGCGGTGAGGATCTGGGTAAACAAACGTAATAAAAATAACATCCACCTTGGACAGCAGTGCTCTTACATAGCACTGCTCAAGGTTCCATTACATGGAACACAAAATAATTCAACACCATTTTTTGAAAGCATAAATTTCGTTTAAAAAAAAATCAATTTAAAAGCACATTCAGAATTCTTAAATTAATTTCCCCACCACCATTTTCCCATCGCTGCCACCACCTTCCTTTCCAGAACCGTCACCACATAAGGGATGTGATAGTTGGTGTGAAAACCTGATTGGTTCGGATTTAGGTTATTAGCAGTTTTGATGGAAAAGCTGTTTATCAAAAAGTTTTTCCAGTATTTGTTTAATATGATGGGTAAATGAGGTATGGATCTGGAGCTGTTCGAGTCATTGATGGCTCGTGATGGTTTAATTAGAAGTGGTTATTTGATTTTTTAGATGTGCTTGGAATCTTTCCAGTGGCAAATGAAAGATTCATCAAGTGTGTGATTGCCGAGGTGATTATCGGAAGAGCCTGTAGTCTAAGAAAGGTTGGCCAGGGGTTAGTATTTGATGTACTGGGTTTATCATCTTTGACTGTGTACTGTTTAGTGTTATTGGAGTAAAATGTATTGCCAGTCGTGAGTTTGGTAGCTGATTGGTAATTTTTCTTCAGTTATAGTCTGTACTGCACCTTTCTTTGCTCTCCCATCGGATGTCCCATTCTGATCCTTCTTCGTTCATATGCAAGCTTTAATTTGACCAGTCTCATTAAAAATATATTACTGTTCTGTTTTGGCTCCAGCTCTGGCCAGTATATTTTACTTATGAATAAAGCATGAACAAAACTTAAAACCTAAAATGTAAATGGTTCTTTTCCCAATTATTTCCCTAGGGCTGATGATGCTGGAGGAGCTACACAATCGTGTGCTGAAGAGCAGGGGCAAGTACGGCCAGGAGCTTAGTCAGTGAGTGCTCAAACCCCTCAATGACCTATGGCCCAACAGCACACCCATCAAAAGACATGCATTTGCTGCTGTTAAAGAGTACTTGTTGTCACCCTCACATTTTGCTGTTGCATTTTAAATACAAACATTTTCAAGAGTCAAGCATAAGTGTTTTTGAATAGAATAAAATTATATATTTTAATATAAAACTTTCAGTTTTGTATATCTCACCATCTTATTTCATTCCTGGTTAAGTAAATGAAACGAATTAAATATTGTATGAAAATTTTTAATTTACCTTGAGACTCTTTCTTGTTGTAGCTTTATTCTACTTCCCATGCCAATGTTTACAGAGATGATCTAATCCGAGCCATAAAAAAGCTCAAGGTGCTGGGCAATGGCTTCTGCATGATCCCCATGGGTGGAACCTACCTGGTGCAGTCTGTTCCTGCTGAGCTCAACATGGATCATACCACAGTGCTCCAAATCGCTGAGGTCAGCACACATGTAGCACGACTGCCCTGATTGTTATATTGTTTTGCTCAAGTTAATGTCTGTTTTTGCTTTTACCCGAATAACAGAAAAAGGGCTACGTGAGCGTTGAGGAAATTACATCTTCTTTGAAGTGGGAAACGGAGCGTACAAACCACGTGTTGGTAAGTGCCTGCCTTTTGTTAATGCGAGTTTAATTTAAAAGGTAACAGTGCTAATGCTGCTTGTAATTTATAACCAAAAATATATATTGGCAAGAGCCACTTGCTTCAAGGACTGTTTGGCTGAACGTTCACCATTGTCAGCATCTACACTGTCATTTTTGGGGGTTTTCCACAGCTCGTAAACATTTAGTGTTCTTGTGCTAACCGAACATCAAATGTTGCACAGGCTCACTTGCTGAGGGAAGGACTGGCCTGGATCGACCAGCAGGCACTTGGGGGAGCGCAGTACTGGTTCCCTGCTCTCTTCACCGACCTGTACAGCCAGGACATCAGTCCCGATGAAGCCAGCTCGTAGCGCAGTGCATTCTTGCAAATTTGTCCTTTATGGAAATGTGAATAAAGGCAGCTGTTATCATCTCCAAATGTATATGATTTTGACACGAGCTTTGTATTTCATGGAGAACACTTTTTTGACACTCCCAAGTTCATGGAGGATTGTTTTTTAGTCGGCTGTCTCATTAACTGCTGGATAAAGGCTGGGTCATAATTATGACCAATGTATGATTACACATCTTGCTGTTTAAGTTCCCTGCTATGGTCTGTTTTAAAGTACTGATTACGTAATCCTGAAGATACCGCACTCATTTGTTAACATGAAGATACCGCACTCATTTGTTAACATTAAACTTGATAAATTCCCGTAGAATTATTTCACAGCAGTCAGGCTTTGTGTTGACAAGTGTCCAAATGTGGTTACCAAATAAGAGCGGTGCCATTAGTAGGGCTAAAGGATGACCCCAACATGTTCATTGCTTAGTGTAGGGGGATTGTCTGTTCCAGTTCCTAAAGGGTTTTGTACATTTTTGCATTGGACTGCTTTATTGACATTTCCACTAAAACCTTAAATGTGAATTCCAAAATTCAACTGCACAGTAAACTTTTTAAAGCCAATGTGTTTACCTCTGGTCCTGCCCATGCAACTCCCACCCAACACGCATGCACCATAATATATTTACATTAGAGTGGATCCAGGAATAAGTGAAAATTAAGGTTTAGGAAACACGTGGCCCGATGCTTCCATTGATAATACATTTTACTATCATGCAGAATCTGGGAAAGCTGCCACTTTAGAGCATTTAAGCTTCTCTTTATTTTTATCCATAAGAGGTTTTTGGGTGAGATCGCGTAAATTCACAAGGGTACCTAAAATTATCAGCCTAAATGTATCCACGTGTATTTAAGGGGGGGGAAACAATTACATTCCTTAATGTTGATAATTTTCCATTACTAAATAACAATACTGTAAAAAAAAATGTTTTTACAAACTGCAAATCTTTTATAGTAACAGCCCATGACATTGATTTGTGAAAATGGCATGTTAACGGAGTGGAATTTGCACATGAAGCAGTTCTAAATGTTTTGCGATTAGAAAATTACACGCAAGAAAAATAATCAGGAAGCCAGTCTCCATTTCTTAAACTTGCATTTAAGGGAGCTGCAAAGGTTTGAAACATGCATACATTTGGTTCATAATTTGTGGTTTTCAAGACTAAACAAGAAATACAATATTTACAATATTTGCATTGACCTTACTCCCAGATGTACAAGCTTGCTCTGCAAAACTTTACAGCCTTGCACAAGCCAATGAATACAGGGATTTCATTACCATCAGTGCAACTGAAAACACCTGGAGAAATTACCAGATCACTGCAGATGTCAGCAATTTCCAAAATTCTCAGTCACCAATTGATGAACAACTTAAAAGCAGTGTTCACACGTGCGACAATTACCAGCGGTTTACTATGACTTGCATACGAATACAATTGATGTGGTCTATGGTCTAAAAGAAATATGGCATATACGGACCATTTAAATGATTACTTTTACCAACGTCCACAATTGTTGCAAGTGCACCTTGTAGTTTGGACAACACCCAAGCTGTGGTTTTGTCTTAAGAAAAAAGTATGCAGTGCCATTAATTATAGGAGTCTTCATGGGGCTGCTCCCTTGTGTAAATGTAGAGTGGTTTCAAGAGTGTGCAGCTGCTTCAGTGATTGACATTGACTTTTCCCCTTTAAAGCTCCTTTCCAAGCTGTACAGGATTACTTGCAAACTTGGTATGTGCATTAACACAGGGTAAGTCTAGTGCATGTCTTGCTGTTGGTGCCGCTAAAACATTACATCTAATTGTCATTAAATAATGTAGATTACATTCATAGCAGGATACTCCATGTAGGGCATAATTTTCTATTACATTTAAAATTGGTGGACCCCGACCTCAACACTTCTGCAATTATTGCGAGATTGGTAAAGAGATGCATATTTAATGCCAACACCAAAATAGAATGTGCGGCGAGTTGAATGGTAGGAGCTTCAGTGCTGCTTGAGTTGGGAATGTAGTTGGTTCAGTGCGCGACTTGTCCCAAAGCAACTGCTCTGGGCACACACTAACACACGTCCAGAGTTTCGATTTTCAAAGCCAACAATGCAGGTTAACAATAATGAAACTATATGAAATCATGCTTTTCCTTTTTTTAATCACAGATGTCTTTGCCCAGCGTCGGTAGTTTTCCGGTCTTTGCTTTTCAAGCCAAAAACCCTCGAGGTGCGGGGAAGTGCCTGTGAAGCAGGTAGCGAGTGCGGCCCAAAGCCCCAGGCTAGGACACACTGCGAGCTTCGCTCTCTGTGCCCGCGCTGCTTGTGCTGGAATCCGAGTCGGGATCGGAAAGCTTTTCTTCCAGCCGGATGTGTAGCCGCTGCCGCACTGCCTGGAGGCGGACCAGCAAGCCCTGGTAGTCAAAGTGGCCGCGCTTCTCCCCAAAAGGATCCTGTGCAAAATTGGGGGCAGCAACCGTGATAACGGATTGAGAGCAAAATATCAGTTCCAGGATTCAACTTCAATTCCTTATAACAGAAAAACATCACCACAGCAACTGCAGGCACATACGTCTTTTAATACGTATTGGTTACAGCAGACTAGTGATTATATTATTTTAAATTTCCCCACTAGTAAGGTTAAATATAGGGAACGAAAGGGAGGGAATGAAATAGGAGTGGGGCAGTTATTTATACAGCTCAATTTCCATTGTGCCCAAAGACCCACTACTTTACAGACACCAGTTTTCAGATACACATGCATATTGAGTATTTACAAAGCATATTGGAAATTGAGCTGTATATTTAGTGATCGCGTTTCCCACCCATCCCACCTTCAAGAGTTCTGTGGATGCTTAATCTTATCGAACGTGCGTATATCAGACTAGTAACTGCCTTGCTGTAATAAAAAAAATATCTACCTTTCTTTAAAAAAAAGTAATACACTGCTAACTTTGTCGTGAACATTTATATTTTTCAGTTTGTGTATTCAAAGTAAACTACTTTTTTAACCTTAGTCCTGCACTCCACTCGCCATACTATTAAAATCATGCAAGATGTTAACATGTCTTTAACATCTTAGAATAATTCTGACACATTTAACACTGGGCAAACATGTGCTGTTTATAACATGCTGAAGTATGTCAGTATTAATACCATAAAAACTGGTAACACTGATCGGCAGGGGCGGAGCCAGGGGGGGGGTGACAGGGGTGACATTCTGCGTATAAGTGTACGACACTCGGTCTGGCAGACTCCGTGCAACTGCATTGTCAGAATGTGTCGCCAACCGATGGCGTCTAGTTCAACAGCCTGACTCTCTAATCATTCTTGAAATAAAAATTTGTTGAATGTCACTCCGGCCTGAAATCCTGGCTCCGCCCCTGCTGATCGGGTATCAATATTCACACATCATTAGATCCCCACTTGTAAACACAACGCTGCATTACTACATTTATCAATGTAAAAAATAATTACTACAATTGCTTTACCTGCATTGCCTGGCCTTGCGTATGCACCTTTTCCTTGCACACGGTTTCATAAAATTCATAGTACTCAAGAAAAGACTTTTCCATGACACTCCTGAAGAAAAAAAAAGATCATTAAATAATATGTATACAAATGGTGTATATAGCTACATGTTTTAATCATTTAACCGTACCAAGTCTAATCATTACACGTAAATACATGTTCTGCATGGAAAATGTATGGATATGTACTCTTGAATTACATTTATAGTTCATTCTCAGCAATGTATACTGGAAAGGCTTAGTGCGCGAGCTAGTATTTCTCCGGTGATCCATCGACAGCACAAAAAGATTAGTGATTGTATGCAAGCCTGAGTTTGTAACTTTTCAAATAATTTTCTCTTGCAGTAGCTTTTAAAAATGTTTCCATCAAGATGGGCTATCATAGTGAGATATTTCAGACACTGTAAAATATTGTACAAGCATCTAAAGCTTTATAGGAATTTTTAAATTAAAATTTCATTGACAATCAACAGCTTACACCTTACCGTAAGGCATCGGGACAAAGACACCTTCCCTCCAACATGTCGCACACAGCCACACGAATAGTCTCGTGCTGGATGCACTCATTGTAGCGCTTGCTATCTCCCGAGTGCCGTTCCTACACAAACAGCATCACATCATCTTTAAATACATTTTTACCCTCTGAATTTAAATCCATTTGTTGTTGATTGCTTGATAAAGGTTCTCAAGTGTTTTGGTCATGAAGGTTATTTTACCATACTTCAATATGGTGGTCTGTGAGTTTAAGGGGGTCGAGGGCCATGACCAGTTAAGATACCACTTGCCACTGATGTTAGCTGTGCGCTAACACTCAACCTGACATCCCGTGTAACACTAAAATCAATTTTACAAAATGTCTTCACCCACGTACCATGTTAAACCCCCATGAAATTCTTTGTATATCCCTTCGTCTCATGCATGTTTCCACGCACCTGTTCAAAGCCTGGCTCGTTGTGGTATGGGTTTTCTGTCATAAGCGACTGTATTGAGATCAGAACAGATGAAATGCTCTGGGCTGGGCTCCATGCAGGACCCGACCACGTCCTAAGCATTCGATCACACACCAATAGTAATTAACATACGTACCTTGCGATTGCTACATCACATGTAAAATGCACAGCAACAGAATAATTATTACACGCAGTGAGTATGCAAGTGCCCAGTGTAGAGTTTCACACAGCCAACATGAATGAGGAAACCAGGTAACCGGTCTCAGTTTATTCCTCCAAAAGTACTTTGCAAAAATGGCGGCGTGTTAGCTGTTGGCGTTGTTTTAACTCAGACAAAAATCCTCGTTTTGTTATGTTAATCCAAATTATGTCAGAATCTGAATATTTTGCATGAACTAGGCCTCAAACCAAATTGCCCTCTTTTTGTTTATAAGTCAATGCAATATAAACATAAATACAAGACAACCAGCCCAAATGGCAGACACCACCAATTCATCAAACACATGTTATGAGATTACCAAGTCAAGTTATTTTAATAAAATAAAAAATAGTGAATAAATGGACAGTAATGTTACTTGTGCACAACTTACCCGAGGATGCTCAGGCAGACCTTGCCATTGCGGTAGAAGTTGGGGTTAAAGCGCACTGTGTTGCTGCCCGTGGTGAGTAGCTTGACACGGGGAGGTTTGATTGGGTAGTCGGGTGGACAGCGGAACAGGAAAAGGAAAAAGCCACCCTCGTAAGGGGTGTCAAATGGCCCAGTAATCAACGCGTGGATCTGCAGCACACAAACACACAGTTGTATGTGTAATAAATAGCGATAGGGCCATTACAGCAGCAATAATAATATTGTTCTCTACTGTTGATATTGAGACGGTCATTGTTATCAACCAGGTAAAACCCTAACTGCTTTGTAGTGGTTGTCTTCTTTCATACCTGCCGGGTCTATTTTTACGAGTTAACTTCCTCCCCGCATCCCCAGCTCTCTCGGCCTCCCACTTCCAGCCCCTCCCACTTCCCCCCCCCCCAGCCTCACTTCCCTCTCCTAGCGTCCACGCAGCGCTCCCCCCTACCCCACACCCCCCTCCTCCCTCTCCCCCCTTGCTTACCTATATAACCTCTTACCACGGCATCTCTCTCTCCCACTTCAGCAAAAAAAACCAGTTTTCTTGCTGTGGTTTTCCCACCTGATGATGATTGCTTGTGTTGCAATTGAAACGTGATTTGTTTTATTTTATACCTAAGTGACTTTACCGAAAGAACCAAAGAGTATTGTCTAAATTGTTTGAGATCTCCAGGGCCTGGTAAGACCACATCCAGTTTGGGTACAAAAATACAACTGAATGACTGGATTACTTTTCCACACTGTAAACCCCCACATAAAACAAAACATATCTTACCCATCAAGGACATCAGTGCCAAGGAACGCCATGCCACAAAGAAGTGCAATTTAACATACAAGACGGTTAATATTATAAATGGAATGTCAATGTCACTATTTCGAAGCAGATGAGAGCCCACTGGAAGAGACCCCCCCGCCCACTTTTCCAAGGTGACCTTAAAATGTTTTTTTCTGTTGATAAGATTGACTGAAAAGCATCAGTGAGACCAAACATGCTGGGTTGTGCTGTAAATTGTGCCAAATATATCATACTGCAGGTCATTGTCATCATTTTGTACAGTACATGCTTATTCTGAAATTCAAGTTGTTAAAAAAAAAACACCTTATTGGTAGAAAAAGTCAAGGGGAAAGTTTGAATCAGCAGCACCACTTATAACCAGGGCCATATTTTACCTTAGTCATGTCTTCTGGGTCAGGCACCACAAACATTCCGGGAGGAGGCTCCTTGTATATGCTCATTATGTCCCTGAAAGTCATACACATCACACACACCGAAGGCTAGTTTAGTAAATTCACTCGCTCAAAGACACCAAGCGCCTGGTGGCCCAGCTGCACCCCACTGCCCACTCATAGAGCAGCACACGGAAAACGGCAGCAGCTTGCAATTACATAACTGGCTGCACAATCCGGCGACCGCAGGCGATTTTCTTTTACACATCAGCTGAACTATTTTAAGTCAACGCGACTTCTTTCTCAAATAAGCATTGAGGCAATGCTCATCTATCTCCTGACAGAGATGAGTCTACCAATCGGACACGTGTAGTTGACGTCCCCAAAACGAGTATTTTATCTACCCCCCGACGAATGAGCTTAGCCAACTTCCAACCGGAATTTGAACTCACGACTACTTCATGATTGCAGGCATCTTACTCTAAAACTGAGTCACCAAACAATGACGTACAGTACACATGGCTTCTTGGCAATAGGATACGACCGACCGACGCACCAACAAATGATGACATTCCTTATGTTAACGATCCTTTTCATTTAACTTTTTTCACCACTTCAAGGTGATGGTCTACGTGTAATGTGCACACAAAATAACTTACCAAACATTGATGCATACATCTCAAAAATGAATATTGACAAGTGAGGCTTCCATGATTAAAGAACAATATTCAATTCGTTTAACAAATATTAACACATCTTTAATTTTAAAAGATTCAAATCCTCTTTAAAAGAGTTGTCTGTAATGTACACTAAATCTCTATGACGACAGTAGTCCTGTACTACTTGATCACACGCATCTATTCTCACACTTCCAAAAAGCAGTCAACCGCATTGTACCAAACTAAAAGGCTCTTGGATACTAGTCTCGTCATGGGTGCAAAACACACCACAGCGATGGGCGGCGGGGTAGTTGACACATTTTGTGACATTCAGAAACAGTACTGTCAAGCATTAACATGGCACTTTAAAAGCCTCATTCTTGAAAACTCGCCTTTTGTCCGTCCAAGGACGGGTGTATTGCAGTAAATCTGAAACTTGCAAGCGAAAATCAGACCGCGACGTGATATTCATTGCATCAATGCACGTGCAATTTGTAAGGGCTGCGGGACACAGACCTATTTCATTTTAAGGTTATAATCCATTGTTCATCACGACGTCATTTTTACTTTGGTCGCGTGACGTGAGGGTTCTGCCTTTGTAGTGAGGGTTGTAAGTTGACGCCGAGGAGGGGGGAGGAGGCGCCTCGGCCCCCCATGTGGAGTGACGTCAGCCGCTAATTATTATGAATAGAGAGGGGGGTGTCCATTTGGAGGGCGTCACCTTATAATTATTCATAAGAGGATTTTAGGTTAGATCGCCTAAATATATGTGTCGTTAAAACCCGCCACCACCCAACACAGCCAACTAGTAAGGGTTGTCATGTAAACAGAACATGGCCAATTCGTCACTAGTACACCATGCCGGTGTGTTGGAGAGCCAAGCCACAACAGCCTGATGAAGCTGTCGCCTGATGAAGCTAGTTGTAATTTCTGGCGAAACGTCGTACTCAGTTTGTAAATGTTGTGGCTTGGCTCTCCAACACACCGGGTGTGCTGTACTAGTGACGAATTGGCACGTTCTGTTTCCATTACAACCCTTACTAGTTGGATGTATTGGGTGGTGGCGGGTTTTAACGACACATTTATATATTTACGCGATCTAACCCAAAAACCTCAATTATGGATGATATTGGTCGCGAAAGCCTACGTGTTAAGCTAAAATAGCCCTACCAACGGTAATCCCTATTGAAGTAAGCTGCCCTTTGTAGCCATGCATTTCAATAATGTATTATTTGATGATTCGCTTCCACGCAGCACTAAGGCGGTAGCTATCCTACCGGTTAAAGTTATTTTGATTTATTTCAATTTCGATAGATTCTCTAATTAGTCTTGGCCAGTAGAAGCTAGTTCTCCTACTGCTGACAGTTGTATTTGGGAGAATTTAATATTTCTCTGATGTTCTTTTATTCTCGTGCTGATCATTCGTCCTGTTTGCCCAACATAACATTTACCACACGTGCAGTTAATCCTGTACACACCTTCTGTTAATAGCTTCGGTAATACATCTTTTGGTAGGGCTATTTTAATAAACACAATAGACAGGAAGGACAAGTTCAAAGGGCTCGCATAATGCACATGAATAATGTACGTTGCCTCAGTAAAGCCCCCCCCCCCACTCCCCCCACATTGTTCAAGAGTGCAGAAGGGTGGTCAACACATCTACGCCTCTATATAAGGAACGAAACAGTAAGACTTCTCCACAAATCTGTCTGTCGAGATTGTAAATGTTGTGGCTTGGCTCTCCAACACACCGGTGTGCCGTACCAGTGACGAATTGGAACGTTCTGTTTACGTGACAACTCTTACGAGTTGGCTGTGTTGGGTGGTGGCGGGTTTAACGACACATTTATATATTTACGCGATCAAACCAAAAAACCTCTATTATGGATGATATTGGTCGCGAAAGCCTACGTGTTAAACTGCTCATGATTATTAATGCGGGGGGCTGTTCGATGTGGAGTGACATCACTTGCGCATTATTATATTCGTGAAGGGCAGGGGGGGGGGGGGAGTACTCCATATTGAGTGACGTTACCTCCTCATGAATATTAATGAGGGGTGGGGGGGGTGTGTCCATTTGGAGGACGTCACCTGCTCATGAATATAAATGAGGGGGGCTGGTCGATGTGAAGTGCCCGTCACGAGCGTTAAGGACAGACATTCCTGGGTGATTGTACTAGGTATGTAGCGAGAATCTAACATGACTAATGGATTCTACCACCCAACCGGGTTTGATTTATCATGAGAGATCAGTTGGCAAGGCACAGTTGTGCTTCGAAGCTGGTTATTTTTCAGCAGTCTCACGCTGCATCTCAAGATGCATTTTCAGGAGGGTACTGGAGGTATGGTTCAATGGGCTGAGCACTATGCCATGTCGCTATGAGGGGTAAGTTAGCTTGTATTCAAAAAGGTGTTGTGGGGTGAGCCCTTTATAAAATGGCGAAGAAAATTGCACAGGCAAAAAGGGTTCTAAATTCATATTTCTTTTAAGTTATTTATATGCACTAGGTAAAATATAAATTCACAACCAAACAATGCAATATATTATTTAGATGTGATTCACGTATAAAGTGTACGGTGTATATATGTTTTTTTTTTACAAAGCTATGAATCTAGCAGCCTCTAGCGGATTGCAGGGTTCACATTAACGTATGACCCATAATGTATGTAAATGGTAAAAAAAAGAATTAATACGGAAACAATCTGATACGAACCACATCAATCTCAGCGATGCGCCCTGGGCCAGCGACAGAGACGCATTCTAGAGCGCTGACTATTTAACGCACCATCCCACCTCAACTTTGGATTAATTATACCGGTCGGTTCCCTCGTTGATTGGTTTTGCGGGTGGAAGGAAACCGGAGAGCCCGTACAAAAAACGCAACGCAAAGCGATTACCACCAAACAACAGTTACCTCCTCTTGCCGCCGTGTCTTCCATAGGCCGCAGCTTACACGAGCATCGATGTTTGTTATTCACAAACTCAGGACGTGCAATGCCCGGCACGACGTGCAATGCAGGACCACCCTGGCCTGGAGCACATGCTCACCGGTATCTAAAAGCGATCCGGTGCGTATTCAATCGTGTACTTGATCAATCGGTGCACCCACCCGAGTCGGTGAACACAAGTCAGCCCTTGTACTCGATGCACTCACTGGATGTGCATCAATTAAGTCTGTGAACCCAGTGAGCCCATGTCAACGGGCCCGTGTGGTGCTTAGTAAAGTCTGTGTTCCCTTGTACATCTGTTTACCCAATGAGTCGGCGTACTCTGTTGGATCTGTGTGTCCAGTGAGCCCTGAGTAGCAAGTGAGCCTAAATACTGCCTCTTAGGGGCCTTACATTTAGTAGGTACGCATGGATGGGGTGAGGGGTTAACTCAAATGTATACGCTTTAGTACGGGGGGGGGTCTACTGACAATGTACGTACGCATAGGTAACGGGGGGGGCTGAAGCCTCGATAATATTATCTACATTGGCCTTAAAATTAGTTAGTCTGGCGGTGGTCTGATTGCTTCAACACGTTAATATTATTAACCCTTGACCGTTTCTGCGTGGATTAAATATCGGCCGTTCTACAGGATTCGTGGAGGGGGGGCAGGTGGGTGTAAAAAGTACGCGTGCGTACAGGGAGTGAGGGGGGTCAACTATTGACAGATTTGTGCGTACCTACTCAACGTATGTGCCCTTATCACGTGAATCCGTACACCCAGCGGGTGTGTGCGCCCCGAGCCCCCCCCCCCCCCCGTGTGCTGCGCCCGCACCTCTTGATCCGCAGCAGGCAGGCCGAAGAAGCGGGCTCAGTGTCCCAGTCCTTGCTCTGGCTCGGGTCCCACGTGGCGCCACCTCCGCCCTGGAGGCTCTGCGCCAGCCCGTCCACCCCCTCGGGTAGCGGCACCGCGGCCGCCGAGCTCAGGCCCTCACCCACGGGGGGCGCCTCTGCCATGGCGCTCTCTCTCTCTTTCTCTCTCTCCTCCTCGTCGTCGTCCTTTCTCCCTCCGTCAAGCGAGTCCTCCCCAAGTCCCTCACCACTCCTTCACCACCACGCGGGCTGAAGGAATGAACACCCACACCCCCCCGCCACCACCCCCCGGGGTGGACGCGGCCTCGAGACGGCGACCTGGGTTCGGTTCGGAGTCCGGCGTGCGAACACAGGCAGGGGGAGTCGAGGAGGGGGGGGGGTGGTCTGGACACTCGAGTGGGGAACCTGGGAAGGCAGACCAGACGGGGTGAAGGAGACTCGAAGAGACCCAGGCAGGCAGGACAGAGAGAGTAGGTCAGGGTGACATCGCCAGGAGACCCCCAGGTAGGCAGGCAGGCGAGAAGGGGGTCGGAGTCACAGCGGATCCACCGCTATGCCGCTTTATACAGTCGTCGCCGGGCCTGCGGGCGCGGGGAGGCCGGCAAGATTATCACGGGGGAGGGGGGCCGCGAGGAGGTTGAGGTGCCGTGGCTGGTCGAGCCGAGAGGGGGGCGATGTAGGAGGCGTGGGGGTCCGTGAGGTGGAGCTGGGGCGGAGAGCCGAGGGCGCGCGACCTCGCAGCGCTCGGCCAGGGAGAGGGGGTGGGGGGTTTACCGGATCGCGCGCTCCCATTGGCCGAGAGGGCGAGGCGGGCAGCCAATCACAGCGCGCGGCTCGCTCCTCCAGCTCAGCTGTTTAATACAGTGCGCCACTGTACCTCGCGACGCGGTGACGGCACGGAAGCACTCGGCGCACCTCCGCCCATTGCTTCGCACGGTGCGAAAGAAGTTCGGCATACATTGAGCACTCCTCTTACAGTACTGGCAGCACGCGACTGCGCTACCGTAGCCAAGCGCGCTCGCGTTACGCACTCACCAGATAGTACTGTACCACAACTACGGCACTCTTGTACAATACCTACTTCCATCCACTGCTCCCCCACACAGTACTACAAGCATTGTACTGTTCTTCGTATTACTGGAACTAGTACATCACTGCGCGCCATACAACACTGGCGTATTGGGATTTTAGAGTTAATTTTAAACTGGGCCCCACGATTGGAGTATGGATGTGAAAACAATGGCTCGCGGGAAACCACCGGAGTTAAGCCCCACTTAACGTTGTACGCGGAGGCGTAGTCACAACTATTATTGTTTAATTAAGGCATTAGCCGTGAGGATTTCTAGAGCCTAATAACTTTTACAAGGGATTTCACGGAGCTAGACATGTTCCTGTAACCGGTATGTTACAAGGCCAAGTATTCGTGAGCTGGTGTTGCAACTGTCTTAATACTGGATTATCGCTAAACAGGAAACAGAAAAAAAACTGCAGTGTCTCATTGCGGTCGTCCAGACGGACGTCGCTGATGACTTGGTGTGGTTAAAACAATCACGCGCCGTGCACTCGGGCACAACCAGTTACGGCTTGCTGATGAATGCTAACGGCGCACAACTTCTTAAAGTACTGTTACTTAAAACTTTCGTGACTTGCATGAATTCATATTCTTTGGTGCTTTCGGTAAAGTCACGTAGATAGAAAATAATAAATAATTACAAATTCAACAAACTTTTTTTAACTTATAAAAACCAAAAACTTGACGTTTCGATCGCAACACAAGCGGTCATGACCGCCTGTGTGAGTTTTTTTTTATTCTTGGTTCTTTCGGTTAAGTCACGTAGAAAGAACCAAGAATATGAATCCCTGCAGTCACGAAAGCTTTAAATCAAAATTTAAGTCGTGAGTTTTTGTTTGTTATTTTATTATTTTATATCTACGTGACTTCACCGAAAGAACCAAATAATTATTAAAGTACGTACGGTATCATGATCAATGGCTTGTCTGATGTTCATTTCTTATTTAAAGTTCAGTTGTGATATTTGAGACATTTTTTTCCGTTTGTTGAATATTTACTATTTGCACAACTTGTATGACGCGAATGAAAATGTTAAAGTTCAGTTGTGATATTTGAGACGTATTTTTTCCGTTTGTTGAATATTTACTATTTGCACAACTTGTATGACGCGAATAGAAATGTATGTAATTTATGTGTCCACCTACATAGGTGACTAAGCTGCCACCGCCCGAATTCATCCAAATGCGTCGTACATTGCAGTGAGAATAACTCGTTTGATCAAATGCTATTTATTCAATGCATCTCCACAAAGAAGGACATGAATTTGAAATCTAGGTTTTAGAAATATTAACCATACAATATATAACAATAAAAGTTAAATTCAAGCATCTGTTCTCGCCTGCGACCACGAGGGCAAGTACCTTCCTTGCGCTCCACATATGCCTATATGGCAATGGGCTCTACGTCGTTAATATCAGGGCATGCAGCTCGGCATTAATTCCTGCCACGAGACTGGTTGTAAGTGAATACAGCGCTGTACTTTGATTCCACTTCGCTCGCACGACCTGTAAACACTGGGTGTGTGAATTATGAATTGATGGCCAGACATGCTGCCCAAATACTGTGCAATACATCACAGGGTTGCCTTCTGCGAGACTTTTATATATTCCATTTGCATGAACTCATCATGATTGGCATTTGCTGATGTAAACATCAATGCGCAAATAAACATCCCAGGTGGTTTTTTTTTTAATACAATTTCACCATGAATCTTCACAATTGTTTAGCAGATATTTAATGCACTCGAATGAGGTATAATCCACGAGGGTAAACAATAAAACATACCCATCTTGCAAACTACCGTAACTTCATTACTCTAGATGGTTGTAACGGTGCAATAAAACACCTTAGTTCCGTTTAAAAACGGACATTATTAACCATTGCGCCCACCGAGGAAATAGTTACTTTTTCATATAAACTAATGAAATAAAATGGTAAAACACAACCTTGTCACAGGTCTCATTTCAGTAGCATAGTTTTTATTCTTTGTCGACCCAACAAACCCTCAGTTCGTAGTTTTCCTGAAGGATCCTGCATGGAAAAAGTTTAAATCTTTAGTGTCCTAGATGGTGTTAGAAGAGGAAAACGCTGAAGAATTCACACGATGGGCTGCAAACCTTGATGTATGGTCACATGAACATCACCACTCTATCGATACATGATCATTTCATTAAATGTTGGCCATTCCATTGAGACGATTCGAGCGAACATCAGATTCCTTGATCCTCTAATAGTGAATGCAAAAAGTAGAATTGTAGTACATGAATGTGCATAAAGCGTGCAGAAAATGTACTTGCATTTAGTGGAGCTGCCTGCAACCGATTTGCTCACGATAGTTGTAACAACCGTCGGAAATGCACTCCAGGTAGTGATTAAATAACTTTATGAAGAACGCAAAGTGAGAAAAAGCCAAATGGAAACACCAAGAGGGATGGCGACATCAATGGATTATGATTGAGTGTTGTCAATGCATATCAATATTGCTGCATTCGTACCGTGTACGTAATATATAGTGTTTGTATTGCATTAGATTTAGTGCTGTAGTCTAATGGTAAATCATATAACCAGATCACCCCAAATACGCACCATCTAAATTCTTGGAAGATTAGACGTACATTACAGTATTTACCCTGGATAGTGCTGGAATATGCAACCAGTCAGAATGTTTATTTAGACTGGAGAAATCCAATGAGCTATGAAGCTCTTTTGTTTTTTTGCACAACTGTCACCACGCGCAATTGCTGTTATAGTCTGCGGAGATACGTTGTGGACAGCAAACAGTACAGCAACATTGTCGTACTGTACACGTCTGCTTCAATATCACATTCCCCCGCCTTCAAACGGTGCTGACCAGTGCGGTGAAGTATGGTCAAACAACCACGACGAACCCGCATGGGGCGAAAAGGCTGTCATCCAGCAGTGGATCGATCAGCAATAATGGCTCTACGTGTTTAGTATTAGCGCTCTAGCACTGTACTGCGTCGTGTCGCACTCGCGCCCCTACTGAAATCAGAATATCACTGTATCCGATGAGCTATAAAGATATTTGTTCACACATGTCCAGTAGAGGCGGCGGGTCAGATCGCTTAAAACAAAAAAAACACAATCGGGGTGAAAAGTATAGGAAGCGTAAATAAATAACTTAAAATATAAACACGTACAAATAAAACTAAACTAATACACTTTTTTTTTTAAATCTTACCAGGTAAAGCCCACGGAGCTTATTAACATGCTTCAGAAGCGACCTGACTGCGGCACACCGCACAGCCTTTGGCTGGGCCCCAGCACGCGCGAGGTGCGACTCGCCGCGGCCATCTTACCTGGGGGGGGGGGTTGCGCGGCGTACCGCCAAGACCGCTTACGTCATCAACACCGCCGGGTGGGGTGGGTGTGGGGGGGGGGCGTGACAACAGTGAGCGGAGGGCGCACGGCGCAGCCGCCTCCCCCGCCCATCACCCTGAGCAACAGGGCCGCCTTTTGATTGACGAGGCGCGCGCGCACGCTTTGTGACGTCATGGTTGTTAGGCCAATCAGTTTCAAAGACAATGCCATATCGATGTTATGAGCATGTTTTTTTTGTTTGCGTGTTCACCACAAGCACCGCGTGTGGTTAATGCAGACTTGATTCCTTGCAAAAAGGTTTCTATTTGGTGTTTGAACGTCTGAACACCCGTTTTATTGCCAGAAAGGGTAACGCCTATTATTATTATTTTGGTGATTTCGAAAACGTTTTTTTTGGTTTGGCCATGTTTGTAGTACAGAGTTAGACTGATGGTCTTATTCTAAGTTGTCTTGTTGTTTGACTTGCATCCCACTGGGATTTGTGCACACAGCGTTGGTGTACGGTGCTATTTTGCTGGGGGTTTTTTCCCTGGATTTTCTGTTTGCACAGTCACACAGTCACTTTAAGATGTTTTCTTGTTCATGTTTTTGTTTGTTGCGGTTGCACCCGATTTAAGAGCCGAATGGCTCACAGGGCCATACCAAAATAAATGAAACTGAACAAACTGTTTACGTTTTCATGACGTCATAGCATGACGTCATAGCATTCGGAATACGACCAATGGCAAACATTGGTCGTATTGTGCACGTGGCGCCCCCCCCACCACTTCGCGATTAAATGTTCATTGGCAAATTAATCAAGCCGCAGTGATCGTTCCACTCACTGCTGCTTGAAGGCTTATCTCTCACGGTCTTACGATATGCTAATCCATCTAGGGCACGAGGTGATTTCATCGCTCCGTCTACTGCGGTGTACGCCCTGTCGGACGCGTTCCATCCCGTTTGCTGTCGCTCCGTCGTTTGTCTCGACCCTCGACCAGTTTACATGTGTCACAAATTTAAATTTGAAGCCAGATTAACTGCAATTCACCAAAATAACCCTATGGCGGGACCCCGGAGTCCCGAATAAACGGAAGTCAAAATAGTAAAAAAAAATATTTAAAGCTTTTGTGGCTGCAGGAATTCATATTCTTTGGGTATTTCGGCAAAGTCACGTATATAGGTTCTAAAAATTATTAACTTATTTTAATAAATTTTTAATCTACCGACCTGACTATACACATTGGTTCTTTCGGTAAAGTCACGTGTGTAGAAATAATATAAATTTAAAATAAATCACAAATAAAATTAAAATAAATCACGACGTTTCGAACGCAACACAGGCGCTCATCATCAGGTGAAAATGGGGCAAAACACATAGCGAGGGAACACACAGAGGGACATCACACACAGAGCACAGAGAGAACGGCAAACTGCATGGAGGCAAATACAGCAAGAAGATGGGAGACGCGAACTCAACAAACCTTAGAAATCTTCTTTGGTTCTTTCGGTAAAGTCACGTAGAATGAGAATAAAATAATAAATTAATAAAATAAAATAACACAATAAAATTCTCACGACGCTTCGGCCACAACACAATTGGCCTTCAGTTGAAAGGAACAGACCCTCAACTTCTGTTCCTTTCACCTGAAGAAGGCCACTCGTGTTGTGGCCGAAACGTCGTGAGAATTTTATTGTGTCATTTTATCAATTTATTATTTTATTCTCATTCTACGTGACTTTACCGAAAGAACCAAAGAAGATGAATCCTTGCAGTCACGAAAGCTTTAAATCGAAATTTAAACCTTAGAAACATAATGCGATGCAAACCATTCGGCCAACAACACAGTAAGACACTAACCTGGTTGACCACGAATTTCAAAAGACTGCTAAATTTTGTGTTATTTCTACATACGTGACTTTACCGAAAGAACCAATGAGTATAGTAATTCCTACATGTCCCTAAAGCTTCAATTCTTCTGGGCTGGGTGGTGGTGGGAATCAGGCTTCAAGTAGGAATCCGTGTGGGTGGGTTTCCTGTAGACAGAATGCCCCAATGAGCCATCAGGTCTCCTCTCAAACAGAACATCCAAGAATGGTAGCTTGCCATCTTTCTCCACCTCCATGGTGAATTTGATGGCGGGATGTCTGGAATTTCAATTCCAGACATCCCGCCATCAAATTCACCAGACATCCCGCCATCAAATTCACCATGGAGGTGGAGAAAGATGGCAAGCTACCATCTTGGATGTTCTGTTTGAGAGGAGACCTGATGGCTCATTGGGGCATTCTGTCTACAGGAAACCCACCCACACGGATTCCTACTTGAAGCCTGATTCCCACCACCACCCAGCCCAGAAGAATTCTCTCATCAAAACTTTATACCATAGGGCTCATTGCATTTCGAACCAACACCACCTGACCAGTGAATTAAACATGTACACCTGGCCCTCAAAAGGAATGGATACTCTGACCGTACCATCCGCCAAGCTGTTTCTCCCTCCATACAGAAACAACCACTTGATACTCCGGTCAAAACCATCACACTACCATATATAGCAGGCGTTACTAAAAGGATTTCCAAAATTCTAAACAAACACAAGATCCAGGTCCGGTTCAATACAGTACACAAAATTCGTGATCTGATCCCATCCGTGAAGGAATGCATTCCTGACTTACAGTACCCCGGGGTTTACAAATTGAGTTGTACCTGCGGTGATTGCTATATCGGGGAAACAAAGCGACATGTCTCTGACCGTATTCGCGAGCACAAATCAGATTTGAAACACGGTAAAACGAATTCTTCTGCCGTAGCTGATCATTGTTACAACGCTGTGGGTGATGACGATATAATTTTCTCCGATACCAAGGGTCTTTGCAAATCCACGGGTTTTTATTAGAGATTTGTTCACGAGGCAATTCAGATCTACAAGCACAGACACAATTTCAACCGAGAAGATGGTTTCAAATTAAGCAACCATTGGAAAGATGTTCTAAATCGAACCAAACATTAAACTAATTTTCAATGGTACCGTATATTTTTCAAGTAGTGGTACCCCAAACTTTCGCAGCTCTTAAATTCCCTTTTCACACCATCAATAGGGAAACTCCCCCCCCCCACGCCAACCGGCATGTGCACTTGCATGTACACCACTTCTATGCTAAGTCGGGCAATCAAATGCTATTTTTTTATGCTAATTCCTTTGTCAAGGCACCTTGTTTCCTCGCACACAGCTTAAAGGTCGCGGTCTGAGCATGGCTATGTTCCACTCCAGCGCTGTCCTCGAGACAGCCTGATCCCTTCACCTGATGAAGGCCGCTTGTGTTGTGGCCGAAAAGTCGTGATTTTTTGTTGTTTTTTACCTACGTGACTTTACCGAATAGAACCAAAGAGTATGTCTCCCATCTTCTTGCTGTATTTGCCTCCATGCAGTTTGCCGTTCTCTGTGTGCTCTGTGTGTGATGTCCCTCTGTGTGTTCCCTCGCTATGTGTTTTGCCCCATTTTCACCTGATGATGAGCGCTTGTGTTGCGTTCGAAACGTCGTGATTTATATTAATTTTATTTTATTTGTGATTTATTAACATTTTATTTGATTTCTACATACGTGACTTTACCGAAAGAAACAATGAGTATAGTAATTCCTGAGGTCATGAAAGCTTCAATTCTAGATCTATTTACGTGACTTTACCGAAAGACCCAAAGAATATAATTTATTTTTGGCGACTCCGTCCCACCACGCACATAAACACCGCGACCCACCTGGCGGGGATCATTCTGTTGGCATGTCGTCCAAGCGCAGCAGCGAGGACAAATGCGCAGAAGAAACAAAACTTTGATTAGCGCATCGTGTCGATCTCGTTGAGAGAAATAGATTGCCGTATTGTTCGCCTTCAACAGACATAAAATTACGTCGCAATGCAGTTTATGCGAGAGCCGGGGGCTTATGGGACCCCGGGGTCCTGCCATAAGCTTAAAATCTCAGACAAAGCGATCGAATGGCTGAATTGCTTAGAACTTCATTGGCCATACAAAATAAAATCACGATCAACCACAATCCCGTCGAGCCATGACGTGTCCTGCCCAAGCCCACTTTCCTGAACAGACATCTATATCTCTGAATCAGCTCAGCCTCCCATAAATAACGTGATAAACTCCCACGTGTTTTCCAGTTGTGTCTCTCCGACAGATGTCTTCATTTGTTTAGCGAACCTGTTCTCCGTGACTTTATTTCTGCTCATAAATAAGCCACAATTCGTAGCCTTTCAATCATTTCCTGAAACTCATTGGCATTGGTTACAATTCCTGTGATCAGCAAATTTCTAATGGTTAATGTATTCTCAACTTATGTTTCAGTCTGAATTTATCCATTATTTTCTGAAATCTTGCAATTTGTCAGTAATTACTCTTGGCTTGAGCATATCTCCTAAAAAATAATTTTTAATTGATGCATAGATTCATCGTTACATACAAATGCATGCCTCTGAGCTGGAGAGAGAGGAGGGAGTAGGTGTGTGTGTGGGGGGATAGTGGGGGAACAGAATAGGCGATAGGCTAAGAGGGAAGTAGAGATGCGATATTTAAAGAAAGTTACGTTAATTTAGTTTAAGCATAGTCTCATTCGCAAAAGTGTCGTGTCAGTAGAAGATCATGATTGCTGTGTATAATTCCAATGGAGTCATTTTCAGGTAATTTTCGAATTGTCAAATTTGGACCCAGAAGCCAGAACACAGTGGCCTACTTTTGCCAATTACCTCAGGGGACCTTTAACGATCACTCTGAAGGAGACAGTCTCTGGATTTGAGTACCTTGGGCTTAAGATTTGCATTGAACTGCCCATATAGGACCCACCACTGCGATCTCTACATTGGGTCAAACTTAACATCTCTTAATGATCGACGGCTTGTGCATCAGATATGATTTATTCACGATGTACTTACAAAAAAATCAGCAGACTACCTACTGGATCTCCTCACTGTTTCGAATAACAAATCTGACCTAAGGTCCTCGCTCATTTACCAGCTTCACA